TATCCAGGCCTCATTCACATGAACCTTCAGAATAGATATCTATGTCAAGGATGGGTAGGATCACTGGATGTGATGGCTCACGCCTGTAATTCCAGCACTTCGGGAGGATGAGGCCAGTGAATCACTTGAGCCCAGGAGTTCCAGACCAGCCTGAGCAACATGGAGAAACTCCATCTCTACAAAAAAAATAATAATAATAATACAAAATATCTGAGTGTAGTGGCATGCGCGTCTAGTCCCGGCTACTCGGGAGGCTGAGGTGGGAGGATCAGTGGAGCCCAGGAGGTTGAGGCTGCAATGAGCTGTGGTCACAACACTGCACTCCAGTTTGGGCAACAGAGTAAGGCCTTGTCTCAAAAGAAAGGATGGGCAGGATCAGGTCTGACAACAGGTCAAAGATTCCCAGTCAAAATAACAAGCTAGATACTGGTGATGTTTCTATCAAGAATGACCTTGTGGGGATGTACCCAACCAGTTTAGACTCCCCCTCAGTTAAACAATTTTCTTCTGTTTTATAGGGCCAGAATATGAGAGGTGCTATATGCCTAACACCTTATGTTTATATACTACTCTTATAAGGTAGCAGAAAGAGCTGTCAGGCTGTGAAGACAAAAGATGGGGATTCTGAGCTCAGACCTCCACATCCTGACTGTGTGAAACTGAGCCCCAGTTTCCTCATCTATAAAGTGACCATTATGCAACATACTTCCCAGGATGGCTGTGGGACCAATAAATAGGACAGCCTTGGGAAGCATCAAGCAGTGTTCTTGGATCCTTAACAATACTTAGTATCTCCTTTTCTTGCCACTTTCCATTTCCCTTCTAATCCTGCTTCCTCAGCTGGCATACATGTCATTATATGACTAAAAAAATAGGATTAAGGCCAGGCGCAGTATGGCTCATGCCTGTAATCCCAGCACTTTGGCAGGCCAAGGTGGGCAGACATGAGGTCAGGAATTTGAGACCAGCCTGACCAACATGGTGAAACCCCACGTCTACTAAAAATACAAAAAATTTGCCATGCATGGTGGCATGCGCCTGTAATCCCAGCTACTCAGGAAGCTGAGGCAGGAGAATCGCTTGAACCCAAGAGGCGGAGGTTGCAGTGAGCCAAGATTGTGCTACTGCACTGCAGCCTGGGTGACATGAGACTCCATCTCAAAAAAAAAAAAAAAAAAAAAATAGAATTAGATTCAGAATGTGGATAATTGGGTAGGGACAAAACACAATGGAAAGGGTAGTGTTTCCAGGCATGCTTATGTGGTACAGACCTAAAGCAGATGACAGACTCCTTGAGGGCAGGGACCTGTATCTTATACTTACACTATATACCTAAAGCTAATATCGGCTCAGCTACAGCTAATATTGAGCTAATACTGCTCATGATGAGATTAAAATGTAATCCTAGCATTTATTGGGTACTTAGTGCCTGCAGATAGTCTTTACATCTTTTGTATGTCATTTCTTTAAACTTCCCAGTAACCTGTGAGACCTGCATTATCCCTATTATGTAGATGAGGTAACCAAGGCACAAAGCAGAACTCCCAAGGTCAGTAGTCAAACTTTAGTTTCTCTGATTTCAAATCATATTTTCTTTATTATGCCACACTGCCCCCCAATAAAAATAGCTGCCTTCATTTGGTTTTATTTTTTAACCAAATATATATTGAACCTTTATTGTATAACCTGCTATGCTAGATTCAAGGTTTGTAGAATTATATATAAAGTCTAATTCCAAATAAACAGCTACACAGATAACTGATATGAGGTAGAATATGGTGGTCTTGGAGATTGTGAGGTTCACAAGTAGATGAGATCACTTCTGATTGGTGCAGATTATCAAAGTCATCATGTATAGGAGGGGGTGTTTGAATTGAGCCTTGAGGTCTGCATTTCCTACTATATGCTAAACTTGAGATCATAAGATCTTAGTTACTACATTTTTCTTAACATCCATTGATAATCACTGCCACTCTGTTCTACCATCTGTTGCTACTCCCCAAAATTGAAAGAAGGTAACTAGACAAACCACCTTGAAGAGAATCAGAGAGAAGACTCCATGGTTTCCTCTCATTTTCTCATCTGGGTGGATATAACATAGTATTAAGAGCCCAACCCCACCACCTACTAGCTGTGCAACTTTGGGAAGTAAACTGTAGGCCTCAGCCCTGTCAACTGTAAAATTAAGATAATTTACCCCTCAGAGGGTTTATCTGTGGATTCAATGGGATTCAATATATAAAAAGTGCTTTGTTGGGTGTCTGGAACATATGTACTCAATAACTAATAAGTGATAGCCATAATTAATAGAGTCTATATCTAAGTAGATAGATATCTACTAGATTATGTAAGCATGAGTGATACACATTTGTTTGGAATGTCAGACTACTGATTATATTGGTTCCGAATTATTAGAGCTATCAATTTTTGTTATTTACAAGCTCTTCACCAAAATTAATGCGGAAATGCAGTTGCTACCATGTTGAAGGCATAATAGTGACCAAACCCTTAGCCATTTGAGAGCAGCCAATGCTATTTTCATCTGAAGCTGTTGTTTTCTATCTCCTTACTGCCCTAGGTAGCTGCACAAATTGCAGTTAATTCCAGTATTTCTTGACTAAATGGAACATTACTCAGGAAATACAGTACAGTCTGCAGAGTCTACAGTACAGCTTACCTCTGAATGACAAAATACTTACTTTTACCCAGCTATAAATTTTCTGGGTAACCATGATGAATATTTTTATTCTTGGTTGAATTTTAGTAACTATAGTTGAAGAACAGGAATGATCTATAAAATAGGATGTTGATCAGAAATACTCAGGAAAAAGATACTACTTTGGTTACATATGTTATTGTTTTCTTTAACTTAGTAATTTGATATTAAACATTGCTGAATAAAAAATTTTACTGTTAAACTTGCCTTTGGACACTCTTTTTCTGGTTCCTACTGAGAACTGCTTAAACTTCATTTTAGGCTGTACATGTCAAAGAGTCAATTGGTCTTTATATTTTTAGTCATCATGTCACAAAATAGGTCCAATCTGAAAAGCAATTTAGGCTAGAAAAGGAAACTTTTTCCATTGCATTTCTTTTTGCAGTGGGAGCATTTTATGTCTCATATGAATTATCTAAGTAAGTATACAAATTTGTGAAATTGAAACTCCTATGGATGTAAATAATTAACTTTTCCCTTTTGTTAGACATAATTTTAGAAGAATAAAAGGGACTAAAGACTGAAGTAAACAAAAATAATTTAGGGATGTTTAGAAAATCATTTGTTATTTTCAATATCTAGCATAGCTTAAAAACCACTTCATGCTCTAATTAAACTAGAATATCCACTGGGAACATAACGCCTGTAGATTATGAAATCTGAGATAAATTGTTTACACTACAAATATACTGAATCTGTTTAAATACATAGAATTTTAGATGCTTTAAATACAATGTAACATTGGCATTATAATTGGTCAAACTTAATTATTATAGCATGAGAAACAGATGATTGGAGGTAGTTAGGGAACCAAAATGGGAAATTTAAGCGTCCTGTAGCATCTTAGTGAAAAAATACAGGTATTGCTCCTAAATCGGCTGTTGTGCTAAGTCTCTCACCTAGCCACCCTGTTTCTACACCAGCAAACAAAAAAAAATCTGAATCCTATAAATAGTTACAACTGGGACCTGTGCAAATAAGGAATTATTCCCAACTAGCTTCCACAGAGGTCACAGAATTTAAAAAAAAAAAAAAATGTTGAGACTAGGGAATTAAAATAGTGGTTTCTTCTATGTCAGTCTAGCTCACAACAAAACTATCATAGTATAGAGACAAAACCGACCATGCCAAGCTGTTAGCAATGTGATATGCATGCTCCTTGTTCTGCATGAAAATAGTGTGATACCTTGCTTTTATTTTTCATCAAAATACTTTTATCAGTTTTTTCTCATCTTTAATAAAATTGGGTTTTGGTTACCTAACCTCAGTCCATAATGAGCAAAGGATACAGATTAGCCTTTCATAATTTACCTGGCAGTGGTACATTATTTTTAAAACCTAATGCTGTATGTATGTTAATTTTCCTCTGCTTTTAATAGGTTAAAAAATCCATTTTGCAATAACGCATGACTCATTCATTTCTCATTACCTTCCCACTGATTTCTTTTTTTTTTCTTTTTTTTTTTTTTTTTTTTGCCTTGAGCCAGCAAGAAACTCTTACATGAGAGGAGGGAGAAACAGAGAGACAGAGTGAGTTGAGGAATACAGTACTTAAATACTGTTGCTTGATTTTCATTGGTTAGCTCCTTTCTTACCGTGGCCAGTCTAATGCAGCCTTCCTTGTCAAATCCCTCCCTTCCCCCACCTTCTCTGCCAGGGGCTTCACGGGGTGTCTGTTGCTAGAAACTGATTGCAGGCAGTATGTAGGCATCTTTCATTCAGAATGGACATTAATATCTTGAATAGAGAAGAAAGCTTTTAGAAATGTATCATTTGTCAAAATTGCATGCCTTTTAAAAAAAGATAAAGAGAGATGCTGAGTGTTCTGTATGTTAGCATCGACTGTTTTTATTTCTGTTCAGACTCAAGTTTTTGGAAGCTAGAATATAGATCCCTTTAAGAAAAAAAGGAAGAAAGAAGAATTTGCTGCTTAGTCGACCTCTGTTTAAGAAGTGCTTCATCCTCCTCCTCCTCCTCTCCGTGGTGTTTCTCTGCAGCTCTCTGTAGGTTAGGGTTCTGTGCTGCCTGGCAGAATGCTCATGTGTTAGTTGAATAGACTTCATCGACAGACATAGACCACTATAGGCTTTCTCTCCCTGTGAATTCCAAAATGCCATCCAAAGAGTCTTGGTCGGGGAGGAAAACTAATAGAGCTGCAGTTCACAAATCAAAACAAGAGGGCCGTCAGCAAGATTTATTGATAGCAGCCTTGGGAATGAAACTGGGTTCTCCAAAGTCGTCTGTGACAATCTGGCAACCTCTGAAACTCTTTGCTTATTCGCAGTTGACATCACTTGTTAGAAGAGCAACTCTGAAAGAAAACGAGCAAATTCCAAAATATGAAAAGATTCACAATTTCAAGGTAAGAATATTTGCTTTTAGCTTTTTATAATTAAGAAATGCACATTACTTGAAATATATAATATTAAAGGAATATCTTCTTATGTCTTTTTAAAACTAGGATGACTTGACTAAAATGTTCTTGCTATTTAAGGAATGAGATGTTTTAAGCCTGATTTTACTAAGGAATAGCTGAATAAAGCTAATGGAAATCCAACCCTGTTTTTCTCTAATGCTGTTTTAATATTCTGTTTCATCAATGTATACTCACTGGTAAAAGTCTTGACTAGTGTTTAAAAGGTCTCAGTTAATGATTTTTGGCATTGTTATTTGTGATACAAATGTGTCTAAATACCTCTGTTGGATATTTTATGAGAGGATAAGATCTCATCTCTGTTTCTGGTAAAAAGCTTTGGATATAAGAGGCATGTGCTATTGCATCTGGATTGAGCAGATGGTTTGCATTTCCCATAGTTTCTGTCTTTTCTCCCGTTAATGAATTGACCATGATGGAAGGAGGATGGCTACCATGGGACTGTTGATGCTGCTGACACTAGCAGCTTCTCTTCACTTTTTGAGTATTTGCTTTCACCATGTATGTGTGTGTATGTGTAGTTTTAAATTATTGTGTAATGTGGTTTATCAACTGTTCCTGAATTTTCTTTCAAGGTGATATGTGTGTTGATTCAAGCTGTATGTAGATGTTGCCTGTATTTATAGCATGATATAAGGCCTTGAAGTTCTGTTCTTTGCAATCTAATTCAGAGATGAAACAACATGAGGTCATGCATAAGGAGACCCAGTTATATTTAATAGATAGATGCACTGAGATTTCTGTAGTAACTTCCCAGTAGTTAGACAACTTTATGATGTGGTTCTTGAGACATGAATATTATTAGTTTAGACAAAAATACCATTGAGGTTTTATTTTAGAAAAAGAATAAGTTGGTTTCAAAATGTGATAAAGCCGGAAATTGTGATCTTTCATTTATTTATTAATTTATTCAGCACCTATAATGCACCAGGCTCTGAACTAGATAATTTCATTCCATATTTGCAATTTATTCTGATTTTTAACACCAGTATTTATTTTACTCAAATGCTAAATACCAACTCCTGTAATATGCTCTGCATTTTCCATAGTGAGGAATAGGTTTCTGTGATCTTTAGATCATTTTGGGATAAAGGAGAAATTACTTGATAAAATTATGTTTCCTAAACATATGGGCTATGTAAAAATTGCTAATATTTTCAAATAAACTAAATAACATTTTCTCCTTCCACTTTAAACATATTAAGGACCTTACCTTTCAGCCAATATCGTGATTTAAAATGAAATAGAGGCAATTTAGTAGATTAAATACCTGATAGAAAACAGATATCATATGTGTATCTAGCTTTCACTACATTTTTCATTTAGGAACCTAATCAATACATGCAGACTTCTAGGCCTCAGTTTCTTCTTGCATGATATACAACCCAGTCTGACAGAATTTTTATCAGGAAAATGACCCCAAATAAATCCTTTTGCCAATATGAATTTATGTCACAAAAGAAGTCATTTAGGTTGCTAATAAATAAGAAATTATATGTACACTGTTTAGAAATGGCTGAGGTCTTAAATATATCTCCGAAGATGTACGCTGTGATTTGTTCAGCAAAACAGATTGACCAACTAAGAATGTTATTTGAGTGCTAAGTCAAGTTCATTATACATGCTTTTTATCAATTCAAGAATTTTCATAAATACTCTCTTTTTTTGGTTGTATCTTCCAGTTGTTTCTCAATTTTAACATATGACTTTAATGAATGAATTCTATACACCAGAAAGTGCTGACTCTGCGATCAATTGTGACTCCTACCTTGTATCTAAACTGCTTTAAAGATACTTGGGGTTTTGTTGTCTGTTTGTTTGGTTTTTTTTTTTTTTTTTTTTGCTTTAAAAAAATAGAAGCTTCTTCCTTCTCTGGAGCTGAAAAATAATGAAAACCAGCTTGGACTTGTTCTTAAAAAAGAGTATTTATGCTCAAGAAAGGACTCATTTTAGACAATGAGTTGTATTACATATTATTTAGAGTTGCTAATAAGGTCAAAAGTCTCAGAATTGACTCTTTTCATTGAAATCAGTCTCTGTTATTTAAAAAATGTTTCTGTGGGGTGACATTATAAAAATTAGAAAAGAAAGAAGGGAGGAAAATCATACTTGACTTCCAAGAACATCCCAAAGAGAATTCAGACTGTGGCAGGAGCAGTTAGTTCTCTCCCACACAGACGCTCACTTAGAAGGTCACTGCTTGTGATATACATATGTATGCATGTACAGTTCAGAAATTTATGTGGGGATAACCCATAGCATTTCCATGATGATAATCATTCATACATCCTTGCCATTAACTATTTTTTAATGCTGGTAAAAGTGTATTCTGTATAACCAAGAGCCCACTCACCAAAGCCTCATTTCAATGTGGTTTTCTTTTTTGCTGCTTTAACTGCCTTGTTATGTAATACTGCTCTGTGGAGTCAAACAGCTGTCAAACCTTATTTTAGGGGCTGAAGCCAAGAATGCCTTCTACCTGTGGTGAAAGCAATCACCAAGGTGAAAGCCAAGCAAACCAACTGGACCTAACATCAGCCTACAGACAGGGGTTTGTTTCTTTTTTGGGTTCAGGGGGTTTTTAGAATAAAACAGGAAGGTTTCCATTTTGCTGTGTTAGGTAACAGTCTCTCTCTCTCTCTCTCTCGCTCTCTCTCTCTCTCTCTCTCTCTCTATTGTTACTTATAAGGATTTGAGAAAGCATCTGTCACAAGGATAGTTTTATCCCTTAGGGAGGTTATTTTACAGATAAATGTACCAAATCCTCTAAAAACTATTAGCTAACACTGTAAGTCATCTACATCAATTAGAATGAAAATAATTGTAACTGTCCCCCCAATCAACCTCTCATTTTAAGAACTACCTCATCCTAATCCCCCTCGCCACATATATATATATATATATATATATATATATATAGAGAGAGAGAGAGAGAGAGAGAGAGAGAGAGAGAGAGAGAGGGCAAAACGAAACAACCTCTTAAGATTAAAAATAAAACTTAGGCACCCCTCCAGCAGTGATTGCGCCCTACATTCTGAGGTTTTCTGGGTAAAATGATAAATAGGACCCAGCCATTACCCTCAAGACCTTGCTTATTATATGCACCACCTTGGGCGGATTGCTTGCTCTCTCTACATTGGAAAAATTGAGTTCCCAATACATGTAGATATATGGTAGCCACTATTTTTGTTACTACAAATTATCCCTAAGTGTTTTTTTTTTTTTTCTGAATCCATACTGACATTTATTTATACTTAAGGGTTCATCTGAATCCTCTTCTTCCTGCCCAGTTGCAGAGATTATGATGTGACTGAAAATCTTAGCGTGATTGTGGGGGCTGTGCCTAGCTCTCAGGCAGAGTTAGATGTTACATAAGAATAGCTACATGTGACCGGGTGCAGTGGCTCACGCCTGTAATCCCAGCACTTTGGGAGGCCGAGGCAGGTGGATCATGAGGTCAGGAGATCGAGAACATCTTGACCAACGTGGTGAAACCCCGTCTCTACTAAAAATATGAAAATTAGCTGAGGGTGGTGGCATGCGCCTGTAGTCCCAGCTACTCTCGAGGCTGAGGCAGGAGAATTGCTTGAACCTGGGAGGCAGAGGTTGCAGTGAGCTAAGTGCCATGGCACTCCAGCCTGGGGGACAAGAGCGAAACTCTGTCTCAAAAAAAAAAAAAGAATAGCTACATTTTTCATGCACTACAGAATACAGTGAAATCCTTTATATATTTATTTTACTCTTTTCAAATTAAACTGTTAAATGTTTCCTTTGGCTTGTTGCTTAATTCAGATAGCTCTATACAATAAAATCAAGAGTAGATGTAATATTATAATAACAGAAGCTAGCCTACTTAAGAAAATTAAATAATTAAAAGAAAACAACATTAAGAATTATAGTGAGTAGATACTAAAAATATGAGTTTAATTTTTTTAAGGCGGTCTCAAATTGTTGATTTTAGTTTCAGGTACTTGCATTCTGCATATAAATGAAAGATATGAGATATTAATAGATTTAATGTTGCCAAGATAACAGGCAAACAATGAATCCTGAAATGTGAATTGATACTGTAATTAAAATAACACTGTAACATGAACCTTATAATAGTTAATTAAATTACCGATTGAAGACCTGCTAGGAAAAAGAGATAATATTGAACCCAGCAATCCTGGCCAACAGACTGGACGTTGTCCTGTTTGATGAGCGGAAGGGCCGCAGTGGCCAGCACTCCTGCTGAGAGCAGTCTTTCCTTTCCTCCCAAGGACATGGGCAAATCCAAGCCCCCTTTGATCTTTCATTTGGTTCACATTTATAATAAAATAAATACAAAATGAATGAACAAATAAACATAATTTTAATATGAACTGTGAAGTTAAACCACATGGTCTAAGGGTTCTCTTACAGCTATAAAATTCTTAGATTGAATTATAGTGTATTGTGAGCATTAGATTTATTATAAGTGTTCAATTTTTCATTAAAATCTTATTGAAGTTTCATATAGAGACAAATTTTCAATACATTGATTTGAAAGGGAACTAAAATTAACCATATATGAAAGAATATCTAAAACTGTTTATATTAACAGCAGTGAAGTGTCATATTCAGAAACAGTGCCTATCACCTCTTTTGTATTATCCCCACCAACCTTCACAACACCGCCTTACCCCCCTCCATTCTTCCTTGCCCTTTCCCGGTGTTTCGTAAAATGGCTGTAACTAGCAGATGCTCAAGAAGCATTTGACGAACGACTAAATAAATGAGTACACACTGTGACATGGGGGGGACCTTCGGTGGTTGTTACTTGAAAACCCATTCTCATGACAGCAGGAAATTTATAGGACTAGAGAATTTAAATTGCTATACTTAAGAGAAACCCATGATACATTATTCTCACAGACCACGGCCTTTTAGTCTCAAGATGTTTTGTA